AGCAAAGAGGAAAAGTACAACTATGGGCGTGGCATTTGATGAAAACCAAATCGATTTTATTTAGACATTTACATTTTTTGTTTCTTGTTTGTTCATGAAGTCTTTATCGATTACAATGACTTTAAAATTCTTCATTTCGTGCTACTATTTTTATTAGGAGGTTCAAATATTCTTTTGATATTTGGATTTCACTTATTTAATGGTACTCATCATAAGCAATAAATTGGGTGTTAGATGGCTTACTTCTGAGAAAAATTTGATTATTAAAATTGACTCACCAAAGCATCAAAACATTAAATCTAGATCTTCATTTAAAAACTCTAGAACCTTAACCATCCGCATTAGTAACACTAAATATCAACCTGGATAGCACAAAATTGATTTTGAAGGGTATCAAATACTTTCTCAAGTTGTTTTAATTTATTTTCTAAATTCCTGTACGTATCCATCATAATCCCCATGAAATGGTTTTTCCCTAGTTCTATGAATGCCATGATGGGAACTAGCAGCTTGATCCCCTTTTTTATTTGAATTTTCTTCCTCATATTAGATATATTTATATCATATCATTTCCCTTTTGGATTTGCTTACGCATGCTAGATCTAAGAATATGATGATGTATGATCAAGGATTGGGAAAAAGGGCATTATTGAACTTTTCCTTAATTTTATATTATCTGTTATCTAAACTTAAAGATCAAATGAAGTAGCTCTTTAATATGCATGGATCAAAGAATCCAAAAAACATAAAAATTAAAAACTTATAACATGATGATTTAATTAGCTAGTAAGATAATCCAAAAAAACAAATAGAATAGAATAAAAGTTGTTCTTAAGCTAACAAAACCTAATCAAACGATGGAAATGGATATGGTGGTTAGCACTCTCCCATACACAAGAAGGTGGCAAACCATAGAAAAATAATATGGTGGTTTTGGAACCTTTTAAAGTTAATGTTATGGTGCTATACGGTCATATGATCATGATGATTGGCATTGACATGTAGCTTTGAAATGTAGTTTCATCTGAATCCAGGGAACCAAAATGGCTTATCCCGTATCTTAGACTAGTTTAAACTTAGGTTAGGTTGGCCTCATGAATCCAATTCCAATAGAATTGGCCTAAGCGGCCATCTAGGGCAGGTTAGCCTCATGTAACCAATTCCAATAGAATTGGCCTAATCGGCCATCTAGGTTAGGTATCTTTTATTTAACAAATAATCATCAAAGATTAGTGAAAGTGCTTAAACAAAAGAAAACTTTTTTAATATGCAAGTAAAAATATATAAAAAAATTTCATGTTAGTCTCGTTTCAAAAAAAGAAAAACAAAATTTTATACACTTTCTTAAAGATATTTTACACTCAGGGCCTCAGCGGACGATTGGCTACCTGCATTACTTCGGTAATACAAAACAAATGAAGGGCTATTCAAATTTTAGGCATTCGGTTGAATGAAAATGAAATAGTGTGTGAAATTTCATTGTATTGAAAACTCATCTTTTAATTCAATTTGGGTGAATTCAAATCTTTCCAATTTGACCAAATTTCAAATACATCGTGCAAGATGTTACCAAAAGGCATGCCACTGCCACCCGCCAGTTGCCAACCACCACGGCCATTTCTTGAGGTAAGTAATCTAAGAAGCAGCGCGATGCACACTCAACAGAAACTTTTCATACTGCAACCAGGAAGCACATAGATTATAACGGCCCGGTCATGGTGGGAATATAAGTCATAACCTATTTGACCAGCAACTCACTTTTTCCAGGCAGTTTTAAACTACCAAATTCACACAAATAGGCTTATAACTTTCGTAAAAAAAAGAGAGAAAAGAATAACTAAAAGAAATCCCTAAACGTGCCACTTGAAAGCAAGTGTCACAAAAATTGAGTTCTTGAAAAGAAAGGAGATGAAAACTGAGTCTAGAAATCCATAACCCGAGGCACTATTTTCCAGAGTGCCAATATATAAATATACTTCTACTGTTCTGCAGATATGGAACTATCCCATTTTTGCCATTCAGGCCAAGCAATAGCCCAATGAACCCCCATAAACCGCAGAAGAATACTACCGAAGAGGGTGGAGTTTATCAAATAAGATGGAAGCAATGTCGTGCTTAATACCTCACAGGAGCTATTCTAAAGCCATGAATGGAGGACCGCCTGCGTAAACCGGCTAGCAAAAGCAAGCGTGGCGATGAAGTCATGAAAGATGCCGCCACAAGCCGATGCATTTTGAGGGTTTCAAGATTATCCTGGAAGTGGAAACGGAGAGGAAGATGAAGAGGACATAGAGGCCTAGACTCTAGGGTTTCCCGCGGTGCCTTTTTCCCGCCAGAAAGAGTGGGCGACTGTGACTCTGGCAGTCAGAAGGGCAGGAAGGCTAATTATTCCATCAGGACTCCATT